TTAAAGAAACATATTTGTAGACACACTTTACAAGAGCACCATGCTGTCTTACAAGAATATCAGTCTGTCTTTTTTGGAACTTCTGGCAATGACCTTTGATCAGAAGAAAGTCTTAACAGATGCACTTATGAAATAATTTAAAGGGTAAATTGATTTGATTTTAATTCCAATTGTTAATAAATGCTTTATATTCACAAACAGAACAAATAATTAATATGACTAAAATAATTTAAGAAGTATTATACAATGATAAATAAGTAATTTATATTTTATTGATCTACAAACTTGTTTTGCTAATTTTAATTCAATGATGCCAGTTAGGTAGTATTATTTTTATATAAACTTACTATATTTCTCTTTCCTGAACTTGGATAACCTTTATACTCACGAGTCAAATAAAATGATTTGAGGAGTGTTATATGACGGTAAATAAGTATTTATTATTCTTGCGAATTTACTTTGTTAATTTTAATTCTAATGATTAATAAATGATCTTTATAATTATGAGCCAAATAAAATGATTAATACGAATAAAAAAGTATTGTACAGTGGTAAATAAATATTTATTTTCTTGATTTGGAAACTTGCTTTGCTGATTTTAATTCTAATAATAATTTTCTCATAGTTAATTATAACATTTACCCACTTATTGGTTGATATGCATTTGTTATATTTATGGGTCGACTGAAATAATCAATTCGATTGAAATGATTTGAAGAGTGTTAGTTGATGGTAGATAAGAATTTTTTGTTTTTTACTATTGATTTTAATTCCAATAACTAATAATAAATGATCTTTAAATTCATGAGTCAAACAAAATGATTATAGTAAATAAGTATATATATTCTTTACTGTAAACTTTCTTTGCTGATTGATCTTTATCTTCACAAGTCGAATAAAATATTAATGTAAACAAATGATGTGAAGAGTATTGTGTTTTTGATCTATGAACTTTTTTTACTGATTTTAGTTCTAATTGATCTTATGTTCATAGCAGAATGAAATAATTAATGTGAATGAAAAATGATTTGAAAAGTATATACAGGTAAATAAGTATTTATGTTCTTTATTTGTGAACTTGTTTTGATTTAATTTCAATAATTAATATACTTATATTCATGAGCCAAATAAAGTACTGTACGGTACTGACTATAGTACCCAGCAATAATACCCCAATAGAAAAGATCCAGGTACAATTCATGAGTTCATGATTCAGGAAATTGAAAAAGACCTGGGAGTACTATAGTTAGTACTGTATGGTAATTAGTACGAATGAATAATTGAATTGTACTGTGTAAGCATTTATGTTTTTGATTTGTAAGCTTAAATTATTATTTAATTTTACTAATTTTAATCACCTATTTTACTAGAATTTGTTTAATAGATGGGTTTATTGTAGATTTTTAGCTTAAGATAGGTCTAATTTAGTTGATGCGATGATAAAAAGGGTCAAAAGAGTGATGGTAAAAAGGCCAAAAGAACAAAGATGGAGGGTTAGATATTATTAATTAGGTTAGAATAAGTAGGTATATAGCACATATTATAGAATGTAAAAAATAAATAAATAAAATAATTGTCTGAAGTGTGAAATTGTGATTGGCTATTACAGTCCATTGTGAAGGGCTCCAGTGTGACTAGTTTTTTTTTTAGTATTATCTTATTTCAGTTGCTAGTATTTTTATTTTTGTTCTAGTTGGGTATAGAGATTTTTAGTTAGTAATGAAGTAGATATAGAAAAAACTTTACCCTATTTGTAAAGTTCACTTCGTGAACTATGCCCACAAAAGGCATTTATGCCATTTATGGCCTTTATTCCTTTAATGACATTAGTAACATTAATTCTATTAATTCCATTAATGGCACTTCAGGAATTAATATTATTTCACTATGAAGTTCGATCTTAAAACCTGTATTAAGATAAGCTTATAAAAACTATAAAAGCAACTCTTTTTTGCTTCAATAAAGATAACTGAGAGTTGGCACAACTTAGTAGAATTCAACTCTATTGAAGTCTATTATCCAACTTTAATGTTTCACTCTAATTACCCCTTCTAATAAGTTAAATTTGTATTGAAATTAGTAGCCTAATTTCGTGACTCCTAAGTAGAGTCTCGTGGCATAGTCTAGAGCTCTATTTGGCTCTAATAACTCGAACCAAGTCTTTTTACGTCTCTCTCGTTCTTTTACTATTAGGTTAAGAGAGAGTTTGGTCATTAGTGTGTTGATTTAGATTGTATTAATGTGGGTTGATATTCGTATTACCCACATTTTGTGTGATTTCAGATTGGTCTACAACCTTTACATTATACTAAAGCTTTCTCTTATTGGCCGATTTTTATATAAGTACAAGCTGCAAAAAATTGCCTGATTTATATCAGTTTTATACTGATAGTGTGCCGATTTGCACCATAAATCAGCATCAATCGGGCTTTCAAATTTAAAAATTGGCAACAATTGGGTAGCTATCAGTTTTAAATATGGCATACCTGATTTGTACCTGATTTGCCAGCTTTTGACTAGTGCTACCATAACTATGACATTTACAGTCACATAAATTCAGTTGTCATTCATTTATAACAGTCTCATACGTGATAAAATAGTATTGTAATGCTGTAAAGCAAAAACATTTTTTGAAATTCCTTAATTATGTATTATTGAATGGCAAGTTTGTAACAGACTTTTTTTACAGTAACTCATGTTAATTCTAATGCAATCTAACTCAACTACATACTGAAATTACAGGGTAGCGAGTAAGTTCTGAATTTTTTTATAGTAACAACAATAACTTTAATACAAACTAACACAATATTAACTACATAGAAATCATGATAATTCTAATGAAAACTAGCTCAATTTTAATTGTATATTGTGGTTGTCAAAATGGCGGGTGAGTTCTATAACAGACATAATTTTAATGCAACTAACTCGACCTTAATCACAAGAAAATTATCAGGATGTCGAGCAAGTTCTGTAAAAATCTTTCTAGTAGAAATCACGATAATTTTAAAACAATCTCAATTACTATAAATTACAGATAAATCATGATAGTTCTAATGCAAACTAATTTTATCTTAAAGTATAATTTTACACAAACTATCTTACTCTTAACTATGTATTTTGGTTGTCGAAACAGAGAGTAAGTTTTGTAATAGAATTTTTTTACAGTAGAGATTATAATAGTTAGTAGAGATTATAATAGTTTTAATATATCTTAATTACATAGAAAACAACAATTCTGATGCAAACTAATTTATAATTATCAGGATATCAAGTAAGTTCTGCATAAATTTTTCTAATAATATGAATCATAATAATTTCAATACAAGACAACTCAATCTTAAACACTGTATGTGCCACATTAGAGAGTAAATCTGACAAAATTTTTTACTATAACCCATGGTAGAAATCAATCGACTTTGACCACTTGATGCGATCACTAGAATACAAGTAAGCTTATAACAAGATACTTAAAACAACTAATGATGAAAATCATGACAATTTCAATATGAACTAACCTTATAATTATTAATTGATACACTAAACAATTGAAAATCATAATTTTCTAAAATGAATAAAAACCATTATCCTACCAAAATAGGATTTAATGTGACAATTAAAATAAAAATATACTAATTTTCATATAAACAGCATACGAACCATGGTATCATACTTAGTACTAATATTGTAATTGTACCACACTCCTGGGTTTAGCACGACTGCGTCACGCAGCTACCCTAATTTTTTATTGAACTTCCAACGATAATATCTCGATAACTACAACCTAAAATCGATAAATACTTTACAGAAACCTATGTTTTTTGCTAAATATGTTTACAATACATTTATAATATATTAACAATATTATTATTATATGATCTAAAATAGTATAATAAATATACTTTGAATATATATTAATCATATAATAATTATATTTTTGTTCTTTCTCTTGTAACTTCATTACTAATAATATGTATGTTATATAGATACAATATAATTTTATGTATAAAATATTCTGTTATTATTAATCTAATGATAATAATAATAACAGAATAAAATAAAAAACCCCAATATTTTAATAATATAATAGTCCTATAATAAATAAAATTTTCACCCCCTCCGTTATTGTGTAAGTCAATAATTCACCCGGATGATGAATAAATTATTTCTGATATGTTTATAATATGTTTATAATATTAATAAGTTTCTTACAAGAGAGTTAACAGAGCTTACTAAGACTTTTATTATATGTTAGATATATGTTGTTTATATTTTTAAAAAATCAAGGTTTCTGTAAAGTAATTTTTTATATTAATTTAAGAATCCATAGGATAAAAATAATAACAATTTTCGTCGATTCTAAATATGAAGTGCACTATTCTTACTAGTGTTGGGCAAATAAGAGTTTTTTCAAATTTCATGCGCATGGAATTTTGGCCCGCATTATGGAATTCTGGCCCGCATTATGGTAACTTGCTGCCAATACGGACCAGAATTATGAGATTCTGAAATATTCCCATACACATGATGCCCAACACTAATTCTTACTGTGGTAGCATCTGAGCTTATATGCATATCGCGCTTCGATTTGATTAGCAAATTTTGATGATCATTGTTGCATGAATTTTTAAACGTCAAGAGCAAAAGGGCGATTGAATTCATTTTTTAAAAATTAATATATTAACCCTAAAATTTCGGGTTGGGTTGAAGCTCTAACCCGAAATTTCGGGTTGGGTTTGAGTTTATAGATGGGTGACGAAACTCACGTGCCCTGACATAACTATTCACGAAACATAAACCGTATTTGTTCGTCATTTCGTCAACGACAAAATAGTTTCGTCGCCCATCTATATTCGGGTTGGCTTATAACCCGACCGTTCGGAGCACTAAATATAAACATACTCATTAGATTGCATTTTTATATAAAATAATTCTTGAAAAAATCTATTTTATCGTTCTAAAAATAATTATATCTTTAAAATGTGTACATGAAACATAAAAATTTAAACTCTAGAGATCAAAGATTCTGCCAATGTATTGATAGGATTTTCATCGGAACAATCAAGTTCTTCTATATATTGATAGCCTAATTCTAAAAGACTAGAAATACTTTCATGGTCATCTATTCCTACGGGTTCTTCAAAAAAGACTTGCCATCGTTGATAGCGATTTTTTAACTTATTGTACATTTCACGGTCCGTGTTACCTTCTTGCGCAGATATCATCAATTTTGGAAGATTTTGTGCCCAAAAAAGTAGATTTCTATATTGATCAGGGTTTTGAGGATCTGGTAAGTAGCATCCTGAACCTAGAGAAAGCACAGAGATCTTTTCCTCTGACACATTATATCGGATAGCTTCATTACATGCAGTTGATGCTGGGTTATTAAAGAAGTATTCATCCATCTATAAAAGTCTTATTACCGATTTTATGAGGTGGAAAAAGTGTAGGTGCAGCTGTTGTTGCCATTAATATGTTAACATAAGTGTCATTTACTTCTTCATTCTTGTTATTTTTACGAGCATCATAACGGGTAAATAAATGCGGCATTATCGAGTAACTTTCATTTGCGGCAGGAATAACCAATTCAGTAAGAGAATTGCTTAATCTTGTTTCGTCGAAAAATCTTTTAAACGACCTTCGTTTGTATACTTATCGTTTAGATTAAGCCAATTAGGTAACCATGATGCTGGTTTGGTGAATAATTTTCCTTATTCATTCTTGTAAATGTTCAATAATTCCGAAGCTGAAAATATCGGTTTTGAATTTGAATATTTATATTCAATGAATTCATCATTTATGTAGATAGATTCGAACTTTGGTGCCGACAATCCAGCAGCAATGATCCCACCAGTCGATGTTCCAGCTATCATATTGAATAGGTGACAAATAGGTCTATGAGTTCGATATTCTATCTCGCTAAGCCACAAAGCAGGTAATACCCCACGTATTCCTCCACCATCAATTGATAGAATATTGTAGACAGGACTCTCATCACTGTGAGAATTTTTCACATAACCTGTTTCGTATGTCAATGTGGTGTTCAACTATATTATTTATATTCAATTTTTTGACAAGTTCTCTATGTTTACCGGCCGAATTATTTCCAGGATCCAAGCTTAGTGCCTCAGAATTGCATATCATAGCATCTACATACTTTTTTTGTTTAAAATAAGCTACACTACGTAAATACCAATATTCTGACAAAGAATTTAATGCTGGACATGCATCAGAAAGTTCGATAACTTGAGTGTATTTAGATAATTTTAGTAAGCATCTTGCATATCCAAGGGAATAAGTCGGATTGTCAGGGTTTAGTTCACGTGCAATGTTATAGATTTCTTGGGCAGATTGCCAATGACATAAACTGTTTAACTTATTAATTTTAGCTTCTTTTTCAGCCAAACGTTCAAAGTAAATCGCTTTGTAATATTTATCTTGATTGAAAGACTGTTGATTATTCAAATAATTAATATATTTATCGTCCAATACTGAAGCTGACTTTGTCTCATCGGGAAATGTGATAAAGAGAGGTGTGTTGGTATCAGATAGTTCATCACCACTAATTATCCACAAGAAATCCTCCAAGGTTTCTAAACGTAATTTAACTTTGCTAACAAATTGATAATTTTCTCTTACAGATTTTCGAACTTCTTCAACAGCTTCTATTGCCTCTTGATATGCGTCCGCAGCACGTTCCATTATATTAAGGATTGTAATATTGATTCTTGCAATATTACGTATTTCTTCAAGTCTTGAAAAAAAGGGCATTTCTAGAGAGTCTTGTAGATATTCTAAAGCTAATCTTGTACGCTCTTTCGATAACATAGAATCTTTAAGTTTACCGCAGGCACCTTTAAAAAATCCATAGATTCCTTGCCTGCGCAATTCGCTGGTCTGTTTGTCTAATCCTTTTACCTCCTTCACAAGTTCGTCATTTAGTGCCAGTTGAAAAGTTTTTTTTGCATCGGATTTCAAAGCTGCATGTGTAACACCTTTGATTTTTATTTTACCACTACCTAAAACCTCCCCAAGCACAAGAAGTAGATATGCAATACCATCAAACCTGAAACCATGCATTTTAAGCCGTATCTATTATGCCATCTATTCCTGTAATGCCAATTTTATCGCGACAATTTATGAGGCGCTTGTGATTCTCACCATCATATTCCTCAGAAAGCGCATGGATAAATTCTTGGTATTTTTCATCATCATATGCACTTAACGCTTTTTTCATGATTTCATTGAGATTTTCTCGAACTGTTGGCTCTTTGAACATCTCCTGACCTTTTTTAAACAGATCAAGACCATAATAACACCCAACACCAAGACAAGCTACTCCTGCTACTATCCCAAACGGCCCACCCAGAGAAGCAATTCCAGTCACAAACACTGCATTGTAAATATTTGTTCCGGCAGCTACTAATGTTAATGTTCCTACTCCAACTCCAACTCCACTAACTGCGGCTCCTTTAGCTTTATACGCAACTGCATGCCTTTTTGCACGCAAAATTTCTTTATATGATGTTTGATAACAAACCAAACTACGTTCCACTTTAGTAAATAATTCAGCAGCAGTATTGACTAATGTATTCTGAATAATTTCTTTATCATTGAAAGAGATCCCTTGATAATTTGCTTTTATTAGGCCATTGCGTTATTAAAGTCACTCTCTAATTTAATATCAGCACTTGAATTGGAAGAAACACCATCTTCATTCTTTTCTATTTTTTCTCTTCCACCATTAACTTTAGCAAATATTTTTTTTGCTTCGTCTAACTCTTGTTGCGTAACATCGTTTGAATTCACTAATAAAAGCACTGCCGCTAAAGCATATAGCGGGGGCTTCCAGAAATTTGGTTGTGAAATACAAACACAAAGCCATATATCCTCTCAATTTTACCTGTTTTTTTTAGCAGTTTAGCTTTATCCGCAATTTTACATGCTGCTCGATACTGATGGTAAGCCAATTCCCCCATGTGCATGCTATTATGGTTCAATAATTCAGAAGAGAGCTCTTTGATATCGTCTTTCTTTAATACTTTCAGTTTCCTTTGATGCGTTATGATAGTCAATAGTAATTTTCCAAAGCTCATTTCCGTAATTTTCATGGTCTTTTAGTTCTAAAGTTTTTTTCAACTCATTTAATAAATGTTCTTTGAACTTTGAAATAAGTCTAAATAACTCATCGCCTTGACTTTTATATATTTCATGAAGCACATATGGACATTTTGGATTTTTGGTTCTATCTGGATGAAAACATGAACCAAGAATTCTAGCACGTCTATTAATCTCCTCTTCTGTATTTATAACATTTTTAAATAAAATTTCTATTTTATTTGAAGAATTCGATAAAAATGATATAAATTCTTTTCTTTTTGAATAGGCATCTTTATGCGCGAGTAATTTTAAGCATTTCAAATGATCTATCAATTCCATGCTAACGTTTTCGATTCTTGAAGACTTATTTTCTTCTTCACTATTGTTATTAGCTTTTAGAATAATTAACTTTTCATTAATTAGCCTATCTGCTAACTTATGCATATGGAACTCGCAATTTATTGCTTCTTGATAACCTTCAAAGGTCTTGGTTATCCCACTAAGTTTTTTAAAAATCTGTTGTATCTCACTAGTAAGTTTATCCACTATATTAATTTCAACCAATTCATCTTCTAAAATTGGGCTGATCTGCTTTAACTCTTCTAAAATTTCTGTTTTAAGATTACAATCCTGATTGATGTCATTTGACGCTATAAAATCCACACTCGGATGTAATACGTATTGAGTTTCCTCGGTACGAGTATTTGTATATTTTTCGTATCTTTCCGCTAATATTTTTTGTTTATTAGCACCTTCCATATCATCATTCGCTTTTAAATAACTATAATAAGTTTTATGATATTCGTATTTATATAATCCATATTGATTCTCGTCATCAACTTCTATTTCATTAATTAATCCTAGTACCCCTCTAAATTTTCGTTTAATTTCGGAATGATTTTGAACGTTATCTTCGAGTTGAAATTTAATTAGAGCATCTATTTCCGAAAAATAAATATCAATTTGGGAACCCATTTTATTTTATTTTCTATCGCTAAAAATTATTGTAGTTAGGTGCTTTTTTTTTTTTTTTTTACGTTAAGGGCATAAATTTATTGAGCCTTAAATAATTATTTTATTTGTGGATCTATTCTATCTGACTTTACTTCGTTATGGTATATTTCATATTGTAGCTGTATTGCATTGTTGTTTTGTATTGTTCTATACAAACGCACTGGAAAGTATGTGATTGAACTAATTAGGTGAACAGGGCAAAATATGCTTAAAATAAATATGTTTATTGCATATGCTCTAAGCATAGTTTGGCTATGTACTCACCCAATTTATAAGTTCTACTCTTAAATTTCTACTGCTTCCATGTTAGAATTCTTGCATAAGCTAATACAATATAACTACAATATTAAACTACAGAACACTGGTGTAACTATCGTACGGGAGAGCTTGCTACAATCATGCTGAATTTAGCTCCGATAGTTAGCTGCACAATATATGGAACTCGCACCTTAGGACTATTAGCATTTTATATGAAAGAACATAAATTTATGCAATCTTTATTATATGTAGAGCGTCAATTCCCTTTTAACCAAGAACGCGGTCACGCCCTTACATACACTTAAAATTAAAACATCTACGCAATATTTTTAGCGTTTACGCTACTTTTTAGCGTCAAAGCGGAGATTACAGTGTTTTCGCCGTAAACTCAGCGTATACGCGAAATTTTGAGTGTATACGTGTACATGCATTACGCCACCAAGAACACATATAGATATAATTAGACAAATATAGAAATGAGTTGGATTTTCATTATTCAATTGTATCTCAATATGGGCATTTGCATTACACAACATTGTTTAGACTATGCTGAAGGTGATTTTTATTGAATTTAAAGTTAGCAGAATACATGATAAAAAGCGAGAAATTGACCAAGTTGGTTAGAATGGTAGAGACAAAAGCAATCGTGATTGCAATGGAAGTCTTCGTAGAATTACCGGTGGGGGCATTCCCACCTGCTGAAGAAATGATAGAATCATGTGTCCACCTGTTATGGAAGGTAGCGAGAATCTCGTTGTTCTTTTCAGCGCCGAGGAACTTAGATCCGTTATCCGCCACGTACCTGTTTCCAGATACCTGATTCCTTGTAACAGACATGCATTATTGTCATTTTAACCTTTTTTTTCTTGATCCGTACCTGTTTCCGATACTTGATTCCTTACACCAGACATATGTTATTGTCATTTTAACCCTTATTATTGTTATTATTATTATTATTATTGATATTCCCACGCCCAAATTCCCACTTCTGCAGTTATCTTGTGATTTCACACGCGAGTAAGCTGATTGTAAGGTTTCTCTTTCGAGCACGTGATGTACCATCATTCTAAAAATAAAGGAGGAAAAACATTTTCACCATCAGTTCGCAATACCATAATTAAAAATATATAGTAATGTATATTCCTATATTCTCAGGTAAAGTTTCTTTGTATCCTTATTATCGGTTACAAGGTAAATTTTAATTATAGTCGGGCTTTTCTAATTCACCGGAGTAAACTCATCACACTACCAGTTTTTTTACAGGTCATGTTGCACGATGCAAAAGCGGACTGTAGACATTACAGCGCATTTTTAAAATTAAGCAGGCAATTGGCCACCAAATCCAAGCATCTGGCCACTCAAATTAAATTTTTAGTTACCAAAATATATATTAATAAATATGTTAAACCTCGGGAAAATTTTTTTAAACCCCTGATCTGCACCAATAACGCGTCTAACTATCTTCCCACTCCTGACGCGTTTTATTAGACATAGGAATTTATTAAATGACGCATCATAACTTGGGGAAAGTTGATTATCTCAATCAAAATCCATATTTATATACAGTATAACCTGTCAAAACCGATCCTGTTAAACTGATAACCTGCCAAAGTCGATGAAAAATTGATCCACCATGTCTGTTTTTAATATAGTAAATTTTAACTTCTTAAACCTGATAACCTTTTAAACTGATGAAAAATTTGCCTACCATGCATACCGGTTTTGACAGAGTATACTTTATTAGTATTCAAAATTTTCAATTTCACAAATGCGACGTAATGAAATTTTGATTTTTGCGATTTATGTAGATCGGCCCTAAAAATTAGGTAATTCTGGTCAAATTTACAGATCATTTGGATGAGTTTTAAAACTCATCCCCAAGGGCCAAATGATCTGCAAATTTGACCAGAATTAACCCAATTTTTAGGGCCGATCTACATAAATAGTAAAAATCTCAGCCCATATGGTATTTGTTTGATCATACTTTAACGTAACTTATGTACTAAAATTCAAGTGACTATAATATATATCGGTACAGTACTTCTTTATATTATTTAATCTTGAGCAAGTGTTTCTTTCTATGGATTGTTATGATACTTCAAACTATCGTAAATTCTCGAAATAGCGGGCAGCACTATTTCGAATATGTGGGCGTTATTTCGAGTGGGCGTTATTTTGAATATATAGGTTAATTTTTTGAAACCGGATTTTTTCAAAATAACACCCATGAGCGGTATTTTGATTGTCAATTATGCAGCCCAACAAACAGTCAAACAATTATCTATTGTGGTTTTTCCGTTTAAAGAATGTTGTCACTTTAAGATCTGCAAAAATAAATCAATGAACATCTTCCCTATTGCTATAATATGATTCAGTATAAAAGAACTACAAAATGAGTTCGCCAAATATCTTGTAACTTATTTGAGACTGATTTTAAATATCATTGAAAATGGTTCTTATTTATCTTTAATTTATTTGTACTACGTATAATCAAAGTGCCTTTTCTATATCTTTTGTACTCAATTCTATTTGAATCACTAGTTTCGCTTAGGTATATTTTATTAAAGGTCAAACACTTTACTTTCGATGTGACTTTGTGTTACTACAGTTAGTTTTTTTTTTTTTTTTTTACTCCACACTAAAAACTGCTTGCATATTGTTATAAAATTAATTTTTTTATTCTTTATTATACCATACCTTAATAAAAAAAACAATATTACAATATAACTTAATAAAATTGATCTGGGGCCACTATGGTTCTAATTTTATTTTGATCTAAAATTTTTTTTTCTTTTGTAACACCAAATCTTACATGTATATAAATTGGACTATTTGAGTATTTTGCGAATAAATTTCCTGCTTAATTAACAAATAAACATGGATGACATAGAAGTTTGCAAAAATAGAAGTTATACTGTTACATTTAAACTTGAGGTAATAGAATATGCGGAAAACACTTCCAATCATAGTGCAGCATAGTTTTACAATATCGACCGAAAACGGATTCAAGAATGAAAAAAGAAAAAAACAGAACTTGAAACCATAAAAAACAAAGGTCAAGTGTGAGCTCTTGAAGGTCATGGCTGAAAAGTTATGTACTCTGTATTAGAAAAAGAGCTATTAGAATATATTAAAAAAAAACAGAAAGAGAAGATTGCAGTCACAATGCTTATGATCCAAAGAAAAGCTAAAGAGTTGGGAGAAACTCTTAGTATTGAAAATGCTCGGTTTTCATGTGGTTGGGTTGTACGTTTTAAGCATCATCATAATCTGGTACAACATGCTTGTACACAAGTCGCACAGAAGTTTCCTGAAGATATGCTCTTAGTTGTTAGGGATTTTCTAAAAAAGTCGCATGAAAAAACTATAAATATAGAAAAAAAATTCATTATTTATTTTAATGAAACTCCCAATGTGGTTCAACATGCCATGGAATTCGACACTTGAGTTTCAAGGTGCCCGCGAGATTCTAATTAAAACTACAGGAAGTGAAAGATATGATTTACTGTAGTTTTAGATTATACAGCTTCTGGAGACAAGCTCCCACCTACCGTGATTTTTAAATTAAAAAAAAGCCTAGAGGCAAGTTCCCCCTAGACAATGTAGTAGCAACAGCACCCCATGCTAACATGATAGAAGATTTAATGATTTCTACATACATTCTCCAAGTAATTTGAGCAAGGCCTAATGGATTCTTTAAAAATAAGGGTATAGTTTTTGTTGATTGTCATGCTAGCCACGTCCGTGATGATGTGATTAAAGCGCTAAATAGATAAGGTTTAGATGTTTTGAATATACCTGGTGGAATGACTAGTGTTTTACAGCCACCTGACATTTCAGTAAACAAACCTTTTAAAAGTGGAATAAGAAAACAATAGGAGGAGTGGATTGAAAAGGGTAAAAAGGAATTTACTGCAAAGGAAAACCGCAAAAAAGCTTTATATGAACTCATTTCTGAATGGGTATCTCAGACATAGAAGGAAATTAATACAAGTGTCTTGGTTAAGTCTTTTGAGTCAACTGGTCTTATTTTGAACCCTGATAGTAGCGAAGATTACAATATGTCCAGGCAATTATCAAAAACCATATGAATAATATTGATAGTGACGAATTATTAAATGAAGAAAGTGTGCATTCAGAGAATAAGGATGAAAATATAATGAATGTAGATACAGATGATATAGATACAGATAGTACAGATACAGATGGTATGGACACAGATGGCATGGATATGGATGATATAAACAGCGGTATGATGTATGATGAAAATTCAGTAGATATAATAAATAAATGGGTAAGTATCTACACATTTTAACATTAAAAGAATTCGTTAATATTACCTCTCTGTTCATATATATATACATCAAACTACTAGGATGAGTTCGTTCATAAAACAGCCCACTATCATCAATAGTTATTCATTGATACTAAATGGTGAGTGTAGAGTCTATTTATTTGTTAATCGGATATTATTTCTCTTTTTATTAAACTAATTATAGTTTCTAAAATTAAAAAATTTGTTAGTGAACCAGAAAAAAAAAAATTCATGATAATTTGCAAATAGAAGAAGTAATAAATAGAAAGTCACTAAAAATCCTGTTCCCAATTCCAGAAATTGGGATTCATCAAATTTTTTTACAATAAATTTTATCAAATTCGTTTGCTTTTATCCAATATTTTCACTTTGGATCTTACTACCAAGATGGTATAGATACTGAAAAGATAAAAAAAAAAGAATCTAAATAATTTTTCGAATCTGCTAATTATTTCAGTGGTCAATAAAACCTGACTGCAAAAATATATGTCTTCTAGAATAAATAGAGTTTTTTTACTAAACCTTACTTGCCATGTACATTTGTATATGTTTGCTTACAGTAAAGCATTTTTTTAAACACCTGGGTGTTTCAAACCATAATATCTTGAATTAGGAGTAGAAAAATACATTTATACAAAAAAAAGCATTGCATTCTCTAGGTAGGAGTAAAGGTTATAGTGAATTAAACTTGACTATAGAAAGTAAAAAAAACCAAACCCGTAAATTCTTAAAAATGCTGTATTAATCATTAGAGATCCTTAGAGTTTGTTAGATCGTTAGAATTTGCTAGAGTTCGTTAGATCGTTAGAGATCCTTAGAGTTCGTTAGATCATTAGAGATATTTTAGAAAAGAGGGCTTATTACTAGTATAAAATAAATTAAAACTACGTATATATATAACATGATATTAATGTACATATGTATATATATGGGGCACGTTATTTCGGGACGCGCATGGGCATTATTTCAAAACCACCTATGCTATTTTTAGGGGGCACGATTTTTGAATTAATGCCCCTGCCTGCTATTTCGAGAATTTATGGTATGTATCTTCCAGATGAGTGTAAATGCGGTAAATATGTATAATTTTTTTTGTATCAAAAATTTGAGAACAGAATCTAATGTAGATAGTTTCATTAAATTATTATAATTTTTTTTATACTATTATTATTTATTGTTGGATTAGAGCAAATTAAGTTTTATTTAAATGTAATTGCATGTATTGTGTGCAATTCTGATATTATATATATTTAACAGTGAAATGGTATAATGTATTGTATTAACATAGTTTTTTGTGCATAATAGCAAATTTTATGTTTTATCTAAAGAATTATTTAATTCAAGCTTAGGCCGTTCGAAGTTAATTCTTCGGTTAACATCGTCTTTAGAACTCTTGGGAGAGAGGGAAGAGGTAAAATGAAATGAACATATAAAAATAGGCCAATTTGTGAATCAAGTAATTGGTGAGATGTTATTTAGCGTTTTGATTAGTTAATCATTTTTCAAGGGAGATTTTAGCAGGGGTGAATCAACTTTGAATGGTCTTACTCCTCAATAGTAACAAAGATCAGACACTCCACTTAAATTCCAAGTCTTTAATTAAAGATTATTCATATTTAACTCTATCTGTTTACAATAAGAAATGCTAGTTTATAAGCATTAATATTATAAAGAAGCTTAACTCTTAAATTCGTGCCAAAAAAATCAATATCATTTTGATAGTTTTAAAGCATTAAATAATAATAATCGGTAATATGGATTAAATTAATTTTAATCAAAAGAAATTATAGAAATAGTAATTAGATAGAAAGTGATGTCAAGAAAATACCTGGTTTAAGATTCTAGGTTATTCCTGTTTGAAAAAAAGAAAATAGGTAAAAAAAAAACATAACTTAAACAAATAATGAAGATTTCAGGACTAACTTATTTCCGGTTTAAAATTCTAGAACAAAATATAAAATAAGCAATTAGTGATTAAATTAGCTTTTGATATATACTAACTGGTTAGCGATTGTGTAAATAAATATATACAGTACTTTAAAAAATAGGGCCGTATATCTAAGGTCATAAAATTACCGTATTTTTGTGTAATTTTACGTACTTTGTATAAGTTTCCTAAAACCAAAATTTCATGTAATTTTGATATCATGTGAATAATGCTAGCCAAAATTCATTGTATCTGATAGATTTTTTGTAAAATTTTAGTTTGAATATAGTAATATATCACGAATCTAGCATAACCACCATGATCAGTTATGTACGAAGTTGAAATTAATTATTTACCGAAATTTTAATGATGCAAAGTATCATTCATAGTTAATAATGAGTTAATAATAACGATATCTGTTTATATATTGTAACTTTTTAACAAGTGCTATTTAAAAATTTTCTTACCAAATACTTTATTTATTCAACCCAATTGAATTCAAAAAAATGTTCATTCTGCCGAATAATAAAAAATTATTGAAATTTGAAACCAATAAAGAAACATGCATCAAATGCTTAACTCATATAAATGGTTCTACCCTGAAATCCCAAAATCCCAAAAGCTATTTTCCCGAAAGGACATAATACTGACTAAATTGGTCAGCATTATAACTAATGCTGGCTAATTTTGTCTTTTTTGGGAGTCTGTCTTTTGAGATTTAGGGTAGAACCTATATAAATAAAGGCAATAAATAGAAACATTAAGAGCAGAATATGGATAATATTTATAATATGTAAGAGAGTGCTACAGAATCTGAAGATATTGAAGATTAGTTTATAAAGAACTTATGAATAGTATGGAAGAAGAGAGTGCGCAAATGCCCTAAAAGAAAAGTGGTATGGGTTGGTTTCGGGAATGTATGAAATGACATGGATTGTGTGGCACGCTAAAAAAGTGTGACTAACAACTTTAAAACTAAACCTAATACAATTCCTAATATAAACACTCCAAATACTATATTTAGCAGCCTCAAGACTCTAAACCTTGAGTGATAGGCTTCGAAAGATAGGCATGGAGAGACTTGGTCTGAGGTTCAAGGTTTTCGGGTATTAACCGTAGCTGCCACAACAAATTTGGACCAGCAGATTCTCAATTTTGATTGGCTAAGAGCGACAATAAAAAGATTAGGCGGAATTACTTATAATTTTACTAATGAAATCATAGTCACCTATTAAGTGAAAATTGTTTCTGGGTTAATTTTGCCATAATGCAGGCTTATTTTTTAAGAATTTCTATTTTAGTAATATAAAAAATTAAAAAGTTAATTCTGGCCGGAAATTAGTAATCAATTTTGTAATTTGGGCCAAATTTTCAAAAATCCTGTGCTGTTAGTTAATCAAAATCAAGGATCTGCCAGTTCAAATTTGTTGTAGCAGCTATAGTTAAACTTGGATTTACTGCTGCGCGATCAGTAACTTAATCTAATCTGAGATTCTTAGTTGCAGGTATATCAGCAAAATATATTAACATAATCTTACGTAAGTTATTACGCCCCAAAATATTATGGAATAATTACGGTCTGGGCATAATATTGCGCAATAAATTGCGAAATATTGCGCAATATATAATGTAATATTATGAAATATATTACGCAAAATTATGAAACTTATAGTACAATATTACATTATATATTGCGCAATATTTCGAATTAGTTCAAAACAATTCGAATAGACGTAAATGTATCAAAATAGTAAAATATTATAAACTAAAAGATAGCTATTATTGAGTAAGTAAAGCTAATCAATTTGAATTTATCAAATACTATTTAAAATATTTCAGGATATTTCGAATTAATTCGAAATAAATTAAATAATTAATAAATAATAGGAAATATATTTACATGCAATAATTATATGATTTATTAGATATTTTTGAATTAATTCGAAAAATGCTAGATTTATAAACTTTGTTTAAATAAACAAAATATAAATTTTATAATTTAAAATATATTTTATTAAAAATTTTATTTAAAATTTTATTTAAAATTTTAAAAATTACATAAATAAAAGCTAAATTCTAAAAGAAATATATAAAAATAAAAGACAAAAAAACGCAGCATTATTCAAATAAAAAAAAAACAAAACAAAAAAATAAAAACTTTTACTTATCATCATCCATATCTTTCTCATCATCAACTATAACTCTCTTATCATCATTATTATCACCATCGTCTGAGACCAAAGAATCAACATCTACCAGTATATTTATACTTACTTCAGGTACTTCTTCTTGGTTAGTTGTGTTTTTATCCGAACTAATTCGAACTTCTTCAAATTATTTTTAAAAATAAAAATTAAAATTAGTAGCTAATTCGAAATATTATGAATTAATTCAATTTAAGTTAAGTTAGTTAAAGTTTTGCTTACTAAACTTAGACCTTTTATAAGTCTAAATAATTCATAAAAATTAAAATTAATTCAATTAAATTAAATAAAATTAAAAAATTATACCTTTTTGAAATGTTTCGAATTGTTTTTGCGTTTGGAAACTTTATCTTAATTAATTTGAATATTTGTGTTAGTTTGTAAATTAATTAAATATAAATTTAAATAATTTAAAATTAATTTAACTATTTTGACTTTATTCAAATCTTTTTCTCTAAGATTATCTCTTTCTTCATTACAAGAATCGACTTCTGAACCTGGATTAGATAAAGGTCTACCATATTTTAAACTCTTCTATTTATTTTGAAATAGTTTGAATTTAGTTAATGATATTATCTGATTAACAAAAATTAAATTAAATACTTACTAAATGTCTTGTAGCCAATTTTTTTATAGCACTTTCTTCTATTGTAATTTTGCTGTAATTTGGGTTGAGTATAGTTTGAGCTACTGCTATTGCATAAGCTACATTTTCTTTAGAAGTATCTTCATCAGGCCAAATTTTCTTTAATATCCTTGCTATATACATCTCTTCAGAACCTTCTTCTATCTCTTTAAATAGCATCTTATAACAATCTTTAGTTTTTTTCGAGGCCTTCCAAGCTCGGAGCTTATCTAATAAAGCCGAATTATTTATGGGATCTAAAAGACTCCCAAAACAAAAAACATATATTTCTTTATATTGCTTGTTAGTGAACCTCGCAAAGATCTAATTTGTTTCAAAAGCT